GGGATCCAAAAGGATCCGGCGGATCCAAGAGGATCCAAAAGGATCCAGAGGATCCAAAGATCCGAGGATCCGCTTTTTCCCCCTTGATAATAATTAATAGATACTAATACGATATCTATCTTGAAATTCTACATCTTTATTACAATTTAGGATTTAACTTGCACAAATCTTCATCATTAACTATATTATTTTCATTCAAAAAATATATTATTCACAGTTAATCTCAAAATTTTATGAAGGTAGATTTGATATGTATAATTGATGATAAACACAAAGTGATTTTCTACTAAATTTTCAAAACTAGGACATTACATAGAATTGTAATGATATTAATTTTAATCGTTTGATTTATTTTCATAAAAATTTTTATTCTTCAATAATTTTATTTATTTATATCCAAAAATCTATTTACATATCTGATTTTAATGGGAATATGTATTATAATACGCACGATCATTATTATCATTCGATAAAAAAGAAAGAGAAGAAAGAAAAAGAATCTGACATTAAGAGAGAGGAAGAAAATGATCCATTGGATCTATAATTATAAACAGCAAAAGTACATTGAAACGAATATCAAATCGATTAAACAATTGTTCGTTGTCGAATTCGATCCCAAAGTGGAAGAGGCAAAACATCTTTATGATTATTATTATCATCATCATCAGTATTATCGGATAATGATAATTGAATTATATTATCATAGTTTTGATGTTTCTGTTTTATCGGTTTATTGATAAATACATCGGTTATTTCACATTCATCATTTTCACGTAGAAGAATATCTAATACATCAAGTGACAATGATGTATTTAATAGAGTAACAGGTTTTTGAGCTATAAGAAAAAAACAAAACAAAAGAAAAAAAAAAAAAACAAATATCAAAATTTTCTTACTGTGAATAACCATATCTGATTGAGTATGATGTTTAATTGGTCTTGATTTTGATTTTTTCAATGAATTTATATTGCCAATTGATTTTTGTAATACACTAAGAATATCAATATTCATTGATGTTGATAATGCAGCCATTGTTGGTCGATGATTAAATTTTGAATGTTTTTTTTTTGATATTGTTTTTGTTATTGGAATTTCACATGTTTCATTTTGAATCATACTTAATAGATCTAATGACATTGATGTTGATGCAGCAACTGTTGTTGATGTTTGTTTTACTTTTTTTTTCTTTTGTGTTAATTTATTATCATTCATAACTGTTGTTGTTGTTGTTGTTTTCTTTGGTTTTTTTGATTTTGATACAGGTGCTTCAAATGTATTGACTATATCAGGATAAGCATGACGAAATAGATCAGCTGGTTCAATAGTAATTAATTTTTCTTCATCGTCATCATCATCATCATTATTATTATCTAATATCATAAGTGATAAATTAGCCATTTGATTTTCAACTGTTTTTATTGATGATAAATCATTTTGTTTCCATTCGACTTCATAATATTGTTTTGATTGTCGAATACGAATTTTTTTTATAGAAATAGGTTGATATATAGTTGTATCAGATAATGAAAGTATATCATTAACATCAAGTTCAAGCATATTAAGACGATAAAGAATTTGAAAACGAGTTAATAATGGAAAGACCTTTAAAATAAAATATTAATTAATAACTTATATGTTGAATTGAACAATTATAAAATAATATGAAAAGTTTAATTATTTTCATTGATAAAATTTAATGAAGAAACTACTCGAATTAATATTCGTTGTTTGAACTCATGTATCATTTCAATAATCTCTTCGTAAGATATTACATCTGATGAATTCTACTATCTGTTTTTATTTTATTTCAACGATAGGTCATGAGGGAAGTTCTTTAATTTTTCACAATACATTATAAGGATACACATAGTCTTGAATTCAAAACATATAATCACTTGCACGACTTTTCTCATCAACCAAGTAGATTATATATCTTCAATAATGATTTCTGGTATATGAGTTAAAGCTATTAAACACCCTATTTTTCCTAGTGAAGTAAAATAAACATTTGTATGAAGCTGACTAATTGAATTTGAGCTACTTTAGACATTCCTATGCTTGTTTTGCTAAAGAAAGCAAAGGTTTGTAAAAAAATCTTAATTTGAGTATAACGAAACAAGAAAATAGTTAACTCTTAAGAGCCGAAGTGGCTTCCGCTTATAAATATGAGAATCTAATTAAAAAAAAACAGAGATTATGGACCCTTAGTATACTCGTACTATAGTTAAAAATAATTACCTTCTTCTTATTCTGGACCTACGCAACCTCCTTTGGCAGGAATATCCATCCCTGTAAAAATTCGAAAAAATAGAAATTTCGATCTGAAACTTTGCATTTAGATAGTTTTGATAATACTTAATATGCTCCGAAATTTTCATTTAGAATGGATGCTTTCTTGCTGAGATATTCAAAATTTAAAAACCAGCTAAATTTTGCTAAAAACTTCAACATTCTGTATTTTGCGAAAGAAACAACAGTCGTTCTTGAAAATTTTGAAACTTCCTAAACACTACTAGGGCAATGAATGAGCCAAGTTTTATGTTAGAAATACATTGTTTTGATTCTTCCATGAAGCTGAATGTCTCACCGAAGAAATTTTTTATTGATCACGGCACAATCTGTCAGTAGAACGATTAAAAGATTCTAGAACGCTGACATTGAATAGCTTGATGATAGGCTTAAGAGTGTAACGTAAAATAAACTACACTGTATGTCGCATTTCCGAATAGATACAAATTTAGGGAAGAAAGGTGTTATTGAAAAAATTCATCCGTCCTAAAAGGTGTTTTGCTACGCCTGACAGCCACCTGAATATTACATTTTGGTCTAGGTATGGCCTCAAAAGTCATATCAATCCAGAAAAATATTGGTTTTTATCTACAACATTTTTTGTAAGACTTTGATTATAATTATTTAAATGTCCCTTGAAAGGGACATTCGGCTCTTAAAGGTTAATAATTTACCTTAATAAATGTATAAGATTCAATCCAATCAAGTTTCTTTTTCATATATATTTGAAGTTGTTTAAGTCGTACTGGTTTTAACCATTTAATTGATGCAATTGATGCAATAAGAGGTAAATTATCTAATTCTAATGATGAATATTCTTTAATAATTTTATCAAAATATTTAAAATTTTTATTATTATCTTTTAATATATTTAAAATTTTTTGTTCATATTTATTTTGTGGATTATTACGTAATAATATTGTACGTATATAATCAACAGGATCAATATTTGATGGTATTAATTGAAGAAATTTTAAAGCATTTTCACGACCAATACCTTGAATACCTTGACTATCATAATCTGAACCAAGAAGTAATGCAAGTGCTAATAGAGAACGTTGATTAAGATGACAATTTGATTCAATTTCATGTCGATCATAAATATCAAATGATATTGACTAAAACAAAATAATTGATCATGTACTTTTCTTTTTTTTTTTTCGAGAAAATTTACCTTTATATCGATACCAAAATTTCGAATAATTGTCTTAGCACCATATACAAAACAATCACTATCATTAGTAATAACAACATCTACTATCTAAAATATTTTAAGTAATGAAAACCAAAAAAAAAAAAATTAGATCAAATAATTGTTATTTTACATTCATTTGATTTAATTGTGCACATAATTTTTCTGCTTCACCATCTGCTCGTATGATTGGTAAACCAAGATAATTAAGTAATTCTGAACACTATAGTTTTTTTTGTTTTAAATAATATTAAACATAAATTATTTAATTCAATAAATAAAATTATTCTTACTTCATTAATTAATACGTTAAAACCTGAACGAGTTTGATCTGTTGTTTTATTTTTTAATGCTAATCGTTTTGTAATAACATCTAATTTTAAATCAGTTATTTTAGTTGAATCAAGAACAAATATAGGTTTAATATTGAAATAAATCATATTTAATACACGGAAAAATAATGTCCTACAAAAAAAGAAAAATTTATCTTTTGTAATGTATAATTAAATAAAATTTGCCTATGAAAAAAACATATTTGAGTGTATGTCCATCCTCAAAAAAAAACGAGTGACTAAATTTTTTAATTTTAGTGCACTTTGTGACTAATGATCATTAAAAACAAAAGGATTCACATCAAATTCTATATTATAGGTTTTTCTAAGATTTTTTTTTTTCAGATGCACATCTAATGATTAAAAATTCACTATACATACATTCTCTATCTTATTTCTATCAAAAGTTATTCAAGAAACTTTTCACCCCGACTTTTTTTTTCCTAAAATGAACATTAGTAAACGTTTCATATCATTTTTATCAAAATTTGAAGCAAGTGACTTGATATGGAGAAGTTGTCTTGATAGTACAAGTCAGAGATGTCCATCGCGGCGCTGCCGCGATGGCGGTGGGTGCGCGGTAGCGGCAGGTTTTTTAAAAAATCACCGCGGCAGCGGCGCGGTAGCGGCAGATTTTTTTAAAAGTCATCGCGGCAGCGGCGCGGTAGCGACAGGTTTTTTAAAAAACCATCGCGGCAGCGACAGGATTTTTTTGGAGGACATTGAAAAACTGTATGAATTTAATAGAATTTCAGGATTTACAAATGAAACGCTTTGATATTGAATAAATCTGATGGACTAGTACCCATACCTCTGGTCAAATATAGTCACAGAAGTGAAATTAGAAACACTTTTTTGAAAACCGTCGCGGCAGTGGCGCGGTGGCGGCACGTTTATTTTATAATTCATCGCGGCAGCGGCGCGGTAGCGTTTCTTTTATAAGTCATCGCGGTGCGGCAGCGTCGTGGCAACATTTTTTTATACACCGTCGCGGCGCGGCAGCGGCAGATTTTCAGCCGCGATGGACATCTCTGGTACAAGTAAAGATATCGCATCCATATTTTTCAAATAAATATTTATCGATATTGAGATGATTTCTACATAATAATGCTTGTTCATATCAAATTGCTTTCATCGAAAAAGAAAATTGTGTGTTATTACAAATTTAGCAATAGCAAAAAAATGAAACTACTTCTCGAAAAATATTTATTAATAGTATATAATAATTTTTAGTTGTATTAAAAGAGAGCCTTCACTTTAGTATCTTGTTTTTTTTTTCGAGACAGAAACGCAGGAGCAGTTAACATGTTGATATTCATCGAAATTCTTAAAAGATAGATGATGCGCTTTGGAACTAATTAAAAAAAAAACGTTTATAGAGTAAGAAAATTGTTTATTTTAGCTAATAATAAATTGTACACAGATTGAGAAACGGTTACAATTATGTATATTAGAATTTTTAGAACTAATTCTCAAATAAAATTTTATTTTTTAAGCTTCAATCAAATATTGATGTTTTGATTATTTGAGAAGTATGAAACAGACCTTCAAATTTATACATGAGATTAACATTTCGAAAGAGATATATTTAATTTTATTTAAATGTTTCAAATTATGTATAGATAGGCAAAATTTAACTAATGATACATAAGGCCAAACCAACAAGAATATTTCTCTCGAAATGATAACAAAAACAAAATCTTCTATCAATTCTACAGTTTCCTAAACACATATAATCAGAAAATTTCCACAACCAACTAACGAGTAACATTCGTCTATTCGACCCTCGACTGTATCAGGCAGAAGTATACAAGTCTCATCCATAGACATCCAGTTGTGAAACAGCTGATTAAGGGAGAACTTATCACATATGTCGGATTGACTGAATTTTCAGTCTGAAAAATCGAATTGGTTGAAAGTTCAACATTAGAAGCACGAGAATCGAGCGCTTAGCCTGTTAGCTCTAATATGTATAGAACGAAAGCGAACAACAGTGGCACTTACGTTATGTGACAAAATGATGACCTTCATGGGAATCAAACCCACAACTCCTGCTATCCAGGCAGTTGTCCTAAGCCAATTAGACTAGAAGGCGCATCTTAATCATCGTTTAGCGTTAGCGTGGCTCATCACTAACGCTAATATAGCCAACGTATTTTATTACGTTTCACCTCTCACTCTGACAAAAACAGACGAAAATTTATTTTACTTCATATAACCCTTTCTAAACTTGAGAAAAAATTATTTTCTCAAAGAAACCTTTTCTCCTGAATCAAAAAAGTTAATTCAAACTTTTGAGAAACCGAGTTCAGATTCAGATTCTCCGACCCCGATTTACTTTCGTCAACCTTTATAAGATATCGTTATTTTCTCAAAAAATCCTTCCCTGAACCCAAAAGACTCAATTGAAGTTTTCGAAAAACTAACTTCAGATTCGGATTCTCCGACCTCGATTTACTTTTCGTCCACCTTTATAGAAAAAATTCATCATTGATGTTTTTTTGACCTTGTCACGAACTCTTTTTTACTTTTTTTCACATGACCCTCCCTACAGTCGAGGGAATAAAAAAACTACGATTATATACCTTAAATGAAGTGAATTTCGATGATTTGTTGATACTGATCGACATTCAATAATCCAAATACTTAAATCTACTGCAGCTGTTTTTCCTGCTAAATCTTCATATGAACCTTGTTTATATGCAGGTTCTAAAATTGACCAAAGATGTTTAACACCCATCTAGAATAAAAATTTATATATTTCTTTTTTTTCTTTTTTTTTTTGTTTCAAATAAAACAAAATATATATATACATTATATCAATATTTATTTCAATATAAACAAAAAAAACCATGATAAATTTATTTAACTTTGTTTTTTAAAAAAATTTTGTATTTTATCCTTAAAACGTATTGGAATTAATGATAAAATTGCACTAATTCCAAGTATTAATATTGAACGCCATGAAAATACATCGGATGGTGATGTTAATTGATGAAGAGTTTTACCAGCTTGTATAAATAACATTGATGGTAATGCAACACCAGCAAATGTACCAGCAAAAAAAAGTCCTAATGGTACATCAAGTATAGGTGAACAAACATTAATAAACCAATTAGGTAATATTGGTGTTATACGTAAAAATATAATAAACCATATAAGACTACCTGTATGTGTTTGTACTCGTTTTTGCCATAGAATTATTTTATCATGAAAATATTTTAATAGAATATGTCGACCAAATATTTGTGATAATAAATAACAAAAACTTGCACCTAATGATGAACATAAGCATACAAGAAATAATGCTAAAGGAAATGGATATAAAAATCCAGCTAATATACTTAAAAATATTGAACCTGGTATAGCAAATGTTTGTAAACTAAAATATTAAAAAAACAAAAAAAAAACATTTATTTATTTTTTTATAAATAAAAATTTTTTTATCTTACAAAATATATGTAAGAAAAAAAGCAATCATTATAATATATCGATGATGTTTACTATATTTATATAAAATATTTCCAAGAATTTTTGCATCATCAATTGTTTTTGGAATTTTAAGTGCATCTTTATCTTTACTAAAAAAAAATTAAAAATAAAAATATTTTTGTTTTTTTATTTTCAACATACATATCTATTTTTGGAAATAATATATATATCATACATAAACTTAATATTGAAAAAAGAAATATTAATATTAATATAAAATAATGTCGACGCTTCATACGTGCACTTTGTGGACTTATTAATTGAATTGAAGTTATTGAATTATCAATCATTTTTACAGCAATAAGATTTTCATTTGATTGTACAGGTATATCTAAATAAAATCAAAGAATATTGTTTGTTTTTTTATTTGAAAATTTCAAAACCTGGTATAATAATTGTATGATCACTAGATGAAGTAAACATATGTTCGAATACAAAGTATATTTTTTTCATGAAAGTAATATATTTCTATTAAATACACATGCTAACTGTTTCGACGTTCTCTTCTTTTTTTTTTTGTTTCTTTCTTGTCCAACAAAAAACTAAGTGTACCTTTTTCTTTTTAATTTTTTTTCTCATTCTCTTTTTTTTCTTCCGTGACATATTGTCGCTATGTTGTTGTAAGCAATTCTCATTTTTTTTTCCTTCTAAAGCAAATAGAATGAAATTGTCTGTCAAAGTTTTATTCTTTTTTTCCTCTATTTTTGAAGAAAAAATGAGAACCATATTTTTCTTTTCTTTTTTTTGATATACTTACATTAATAATTAGATTGTTTTTTTTTTATAGGTTTGTTCTATAAAAATACAAAGAAATAATTTCAAATTGAAATCTAAAAAAATAAAGCGAATTCAACCAAAACTTTTTCTTTTTCTTTTTTTTTAATCTTTATTAAATATACATAAAATAAATTGCAACATTATTATTCAAACACAAAGCAATATACATTAAAAGCAAAGATATAAGAAAAACCTGCTTTTCTTTTTTGTTTTTATTTTCTCGAAAAATGTTTTTTTCTTTTTTTGTTTTTAAAGAAGTTCACATGCTCGACTACGTTGTGGTCTATTAAAAAATTTTGATGAATTATTGTGTTCACTAAGAGTTTCAGCTGTTTTAAGTGATTGATCATCATCAAATGTAGGTTTTGCTAAAGTTTGTTGCATAAGTTGTGCTGTAGGATCTTCATTTTTTTTTGTAATAACTGGTGTTTGTTCTACATTTGTTTCTGTTGGCATAGTATTTGTAATAATTTGTGTTTGTGGTATTTGTATAAAACCATTTTCTTTTGGTATTGGTTGATTAGAACTTTTTGCTGTTATACCTTTAAGAGTACTTGATTGTTTTAATTTAGCATCTTCAGCATCTTGTCGTTTCATATCAGCTAATACAGCTTGAAATGGACGTGATACAACTTTGCCTGAACGATCTTTTTTATTTAATACAAAATATGTTGTTATTGTTATTGCACCATTTATTGTCATTTTTGGACGTTCTTGAGCTTCATATATTTTACGTTCTAATAATTGATATGTTGAATCACTAACATGAATGTGTAATGCCTAATATGAAAAAAAGAAAAGAAATTTAATAATCTCGAGTCTTAATTAATGATAATTTTAAATCGATTTAAGTCCCCCTCTCCCCCCTAGAAACCAACTTTGTTATTTTTCGTTTGATTTCAACCAAATTTTGGGAGAATATTAATCTAGGCTAGATGAAATATCTCCCCCAAATTTCAATATACTAACGAGTTATAGTCAATTTATTGGTCAAAAATACCCTGTACGCGGGCAAGATTTTCGTAATCAGGATACGAACTAACATACCGGGGCGTTTTTTAAGTTGTAGAGTACTCTTAGGGCTAGATCCTCTAATGAGTTATAAATCACAAAATCGATAAATTTGACTTTTCAAAGGGGGGTGAGCGCCCTTAATCAATTGAATTTTTTTTATTGATATCTTTATTTCATAATATTTCTTAAATGATCATGTTTTTGTTATTTTAAATTTAACATATGAAGAAAGATAAAATCGTTTTACTGAAAAAATATCAAGACATTGTATAAACATATCTATATTTATCTTGAGAATACTTATTCTATTGAATTATGATGAAAACAAAAGACAGTAGAGTTCTAAATCCTATTTAATCCATCTACAAGACTTGTTCAATAAAATATCTTACTTTACTAGTTTGTTCTAATTTATTTGCTGTTGTTACTGTATCACCAAAAAGACAATAACGTGGCATTTTAATACCAGCTATACCAGCAACTACTGGACCACTATGACAACCTGAAAACATTAAAAAAAAACTATGAAAATTTCTATTCTTATATATAAATCAATCTTAACAAAAACGAACCAATACGAATTTTAAGTTTTTCATTATTAGTTGGATTTGTTACAGTAACAATTGAATCAAGCATATCAAATGCCATATCAACAATTTCTGCTGCATGATTTCTTGCACCTAAAATGAAAATAAATTAAATTTGTTTGATATAATTCTTTTGTTTTTTTTTTTTTTTTAATGTAAAATAAATATTTACGTTCAGGTACACCACTAGCTAACATATAAGCATCACCAATTGTTTCAACTTTATAACAATTATGTATTTCTAAACATTTATCAAATTTTGTATACATTTCATTAAGTATAGAAACAACTTCCATTGGTGTAAGTGATGCACATATTGTTGTAAAACCAACAACATCACTGAATAAAATTGTACAACTTTCAAATGTCTAGATATGAAGAACAAAAGAAAAAAAACATTTCAAACGATGAGTTATTTATTTAAAATGATATGTCTATCGATTGGCTACTTAGATTTTACAAATGAAATTTTCTTCAATAGATAGCGCTTATAATTTGATTTCAAAAGAAAATCTTCATAGGGCTAGTCCGACCGGAGGTTGTCACAACCCCCCAATAATCGAAAATTTTTGTTCTTTCCCAACGAAATCGAAAAAATTTTTTCTTGCGTTTTGTTAGCAAAAAAAATTTTACTGCCATTACAAAACTCTCCAATGTTGACTGCCTCAGGTCAACCCTGAATATTCATAGTAATTGTAATGAAGATTGAATGTTATTAGCCTTCTATGGATGGCTCCCCTTTGCTATACTGTTGAACAAGAAAAAAACAAGCTGATAATCATTCTGGAATGATTTATTTTTTGAAAAATTTCGAAGTTTTGTCCTACGATTATTTTTAGTATATCATATTCTTTTTTTTTTTTTTGTTTTTTAAATTAAGAATAATACTTTGAAATAATATAAAGCTGTAAAAATGTGTAAAGAATAATAGATAATACATGATATTTTTGAATACTAATTAATTTGTTTTGGAAGTAAAGTATCACGAAGTTTAATATACAAAAAATAGAATCATTCATTTGAACTCAAAGTATGTTGTTGATCTACATTTTTTTTAGAACTTAAGAAGTTTAATAATAGAAAATTTTAGACATATGATGTGTAAATATAACTAATAGGATGATGATAATTTCCAACGTTCTATCATAGTGCTATAAAACTCAATAAAAGACAAAGTATGTTAGTTAACTGAGATTTTCTCTTCTAAATTGATTGTTATATCTATTGTGACTAGAGAGCTGCGGGTCCATGTTTTTTTGGACCCGGACCCGGCCGGGTCTAGACCCGATCCTTTTTTCACCAATATTTGGCATCCTATGTGTACGTGAACAGAAAAGGAAACACAATTTTAGCTCTTTGTTGGTGACTTTAAAGGTAAAATGAGTGTAAAATTATTTCTGACTGTTTCTTTTTCAATTTCGTTGACTTCAATTGTTATTGTTATATATTTCCATTCATAACTTAATGCAGACCGGGTCTGACTTTTCTCTTAGGTTTAGACTCGGACCCGGGTCTGGAAGGACCCGCAGCTCTCTAATTGTGACACTTAAAAAAAAACAAGAGAGAGAGATATCAGAATTTTTGTTCTTAAGAAATGAGAAATTAACATTTCTAATCTGAAATTAAAATTTAGTAATTTTAATCAAACCTCGCAAAGATTAGCTGCTTTTTCTCCACTTCGTAATCGATCAGCAATTTTCTTTGGTATCATTTGATATAAGAGTAAATCAGTTTTTTTCATTTCAACATCCAATTTTCTCATACTATCTTCCAATGCTTTACTTTTTTGTTTTTCCTAAGATAAATAAAAAAAAATAAAAATAATTCTATAAATATTATTTTGAAAATTTCATTTTTACTTGATCAAGTGCTAATTTAAGTTCAGCACTTTGTTGTGTACCAGCTAATACTAAATCTCGACTTGAATCATGCATTGATAGATCATTTATAAATAGACCAGTATTAAACATAGCATCGAGATTTTCAAGACTAAAAAAATACAAAAAAAGAAAATATTGTTTATTGTTTGTTTCTATTATATGCTATCTTGTCTTGAAGATCAAATGAATAAGCTACAGATATTATAAATTTCTTGATTTAGTTAATATTTATATAGGCTGTATTACAACAAGAGATTTATGTCTATAGATTTTCTTGTTTTTTTTTTTTGCATTTAATTGATTCTTCAATGTTTAAAATCGAAAGTGAAATTTCGAAAATTATCTAAAGATGATCATAGAATTTTATTTCAAAAATTCATGAAACATAATCATTATTCCAGAAAGAAGACTTATATGAATACAAATATCTTTATATTACAAATAGAGTCTACATAATATCCTAAGAGTCATTTGAAAGAGCAATTTATTATTTGACAAGGTTCATTGATCAATTCTAAGATTGCTTAAAAAAATCTATAAACAATGACGAAATATTTAAAAAATGTATCGAACGTATATCTCATGCTCATTGCTACTAGAGTAAATATCTATGATAGATATTGAATAGAAAAAAATTTCAGTAATATCAATTTCTTTATTTTAAATTTATTAAATATTTCAATCCGAAATCATATATGTACGATAATCATTTCCAATGAATTAATAAAAATATAAACCGTAACAAAAGATTTTATGATTAAATATGAAAGTTCTCAATAAACTAGAAAATCAACAAAACAAAAGTTTTTCTTTTTTCCTCAAGCATTCGAAGAAAATGACAAAAATAGTCTTGTACAATGCTTTATTACATATAATATTATTTAGTAAAAAATCGCATTTTTTAGTCCCGATCTTTGAAAATGGCTTTATTTCTAAAATCGAGCAACATTTTTTTTTTACAATCTGTGTACTGATAAGACTTAAATAAATGAATGATCAAAGAATGAACGAATTAAATTTACGTATATAGTATCGTGTTGGTTATTTTATATGTATTCAAAAACTTGTGCAATTGAAAAATTCGGATCCTTGCAAACAGACTCGTAATCAATAAAGACTTTTATAGAAATAGCAAATAAAAATATCTGATTTACAGATTTTTTAATCATGTCAAAATAATAAACGTGAAAATATATTGCATAAAAAAACTGACCGAGACTAGTATGAAAAATTTTTAGTTCCGGAACCACTTTGCAGTTCCCTACTGTTAACGCAACTTTTGCGCAATTAAAATATGAAACATGATAGTTTGTAGGATTGACATATGTCAATGTGGGAAGTGACTAGCTCAATCCTCGCATTGTACGTTATGTCTATGAAAGGTTTGAGTTGTTGTCGCAAAAAAAAAGGATTCTATCAAATTTAAGAAGACAGCATTTCTCTGTCATTATCTATTGACATGTTCACTTTCTAAAATCTATCGAGAACTCTAGAAGTAGAATAAATTGTAAATTTTTATCATTTGTACTTCAATATTTATTATCTTATAAAAATAACTTACACTGGTGTAGCTAAATAAATAATTGCTTTCCATTCCTGTACATATAACATCTGACCTCGTAGACGTAAATATTCTTCATGTATATCTCGATGTCCTGTCATAGTTAAAAGTATTTCTAAAATTAAACGAAATAAAAATTAAAAAAAAAAAACCATAAATTCAAATTTATAAAAATCATACCAGAATCATTTTGATGTCTTGCATCATGTATTTCTAAATCACTTTCATTTGATTGTTTACGTAATGGTTCAATAGTTGAAAATTCAAAAACATTATTTGAATGTAATACAATTTGTGACCAATTTAATGTTATAATAGGTCTAAGAAGAAGAAAAGAAGAATCATTTTAGTTTGTTTTTATTTTTTTTTAATTACCGAACAAGAGTAAATATGTCACGAATAAGTTCACCAACAATATTTGGAAATAATTGTGTTAAAGAATCTCCAGCTGATATAATTTCTAATGATTCTGATATAACCATATGAAATGGAAATAATTCAAAAAAAATAAAACAATCTATTGCTAAATCAAGTTCATTTGAATCTTTATCTTTAGTTGCTTGATGAACATATGCTGTATTTTCAAATTTAAGTTCAAATACAACATGTGTTATATCAAATTCTTCTCGTTCACTAACAATATCAATTTGAACATTTGTATCATAAAATCGACGACCAACCTATATATATAAAGAAAAATTTACATGAAATTTTTTTTTTTATCAAACTTCAGTTATTTGTCCAATAACATAATGAACAAATCCTCGTCGTCGACTACGATAATGGAGTGTTAAACCATGAGCATTTTCTTTTTCAACATAAAATGATGGTGGTCTCATTCGTGGATATGTATAACGCATATATTCATGTAAATTATCCAAACCATTAAGAAAATCTCGCATATTATGTCCACTTGAATAAAATAAAACAAAAAATAAAAATAAAAAATCAACACTATTTGATCAAATAAAAATTTATTCATACAGAATTCTTAATACACGATCATAACCATAATTTGAAATATAAGAAACAAATTCAGTACCAAATACATTCATAAGATCACTAACCGGTTCATCTAAAAATTGAAGTGAATATTTTCTAATAAGATTTATTTAGAAATAATAAATAATTCGATATGATATAATACTTATTTCTTTCAATTTGATAAAGAACTGTAAGTTATTGATTAT